GGCAAGGGGTTACATCACGTTTTTTCTCAAATTCGGGGTCGGTTCGAAAATCGAAACTTTTTTGATGATTTTTATTGAATATCTCGGGTAAATGCTGTCCGATTTTGAAATGTTATACCTTTTTGAATTCGTAGGGATCCCTACTATCAATCTGCATTCAAACATTTTAAAAATCGATGGGTTAAAAAAAGTGGTTGACCAAAAACCGATTCGTTTGTAAAGTCAACCTTTTTTGATGATTTTTTTGAATATCTCGGCCAAATAGTGTTCGATTTGGGAATTTTATACCATTTTCGACTCGTAAGGATCAGTACTATCGATTGGCATCAAAAAAATGAAAATCTAAATTTTGACCAAAATCAGCAAAATGGCAAGGGGTTACATCACGTTTTTTCTCAAATTCGGGGTCGGTTCGAAAATCGAAACTTTTTTGATGATTTTATTGAATATCTCGGGTAAATGCTGTCAGATTTTGAAATGTTATACCTTTTTGAATTCGTAGGGATCCCTACTATCAATCTGCATTCAAACATTTTAAAAATCGATGAGTTAAAAAAAGTGGTTGACCAAAAACCGATTCGTTTGTAAAGTCAACCTTTTTTGATGATTTTTTTGAATATCTCGGCCAAATAGTGTTCGATTTGGGAATTTTATACCATTTTGGACTCGTAAGGATCAGTACTATCGATTGGCATCAAAAAAATGAAAATCTAAATTTTGACCAAAATCAACAAAATGGCAAGGGGTTACATCACGTTTTTTCTCAAATTCGGGGTCGGTTCGAAAATCGAAACTTTTTTGATGATTTTTATTGAATATCTCGGGTAAATGCTGTCCGATTTTGAAATGTTATACCTTTTTGAATTCGTAGGGATCCCTACTATCAATCTGCATTCAAACATTTTAAAAATCGATGGGTTAAAAAAAGTGGTTGACCAAAAACCGATTCGTTTGTAAAGTCAACCTTTTTTGATGATTTTTTTGAATATCTCGGCCAAATAGTGTTCGATTTGGGAATTTTATACCATTTTCGACTCGTAAGGATCAGTACTATCGATTGGCATCAAAAAAATAAAAATCTAAATTTTGACCAAAATCAGCAAAATGGCAAGGGGTTACATCACGTTTTTTCTCAAATTCGGGGTCGGTTCGAAAATCGAAACTTTTTTGATGATTTTTATTGAATATCTCGGGTAAATGCTGTCCGATTTTGAAATGTTATACCTTTTTGAATTCGTAGGGATCCCTACTATCAATCTGCATTCAAACATTTTAAAAATCGATGGGTTAAAAAAAGTGGTTGACCAAAAACCGATTCGTTTGTAAAGTCAACCTTTTTTGATGATTTTTTTGAATATCTCGGCCAAATAGTGTTCGATTTGGGAATTTTATACCATTTTTGACTCGTAAGGATCAGTACTATCGATTGGCATCAAAAAAATAAAAATCTAAATTTTGACCAAAATCATCAAAATGGCAAGGGGTTACATCACGTTTTTTCTCAAATTCGGGGTCGGTTCGAAAATCGAAACTTTTTTGATGATTTTTATTGAATATCTCGGGTAAATGCTGTCAGATTTTGAAATGTTATACCTTTTTGAATTCGTAGGGATCCCTACTATCAATCTGCATTCAAACATTTTAAAAATCGATGGGTTAAAAAAAGTGGTTGACCAAAAACCGATTCGTTTGTAAAGTCAACCTTTTTTTTAAAAAAGTGGTTGACCAAAAAGCGATTCGTTTGTAAAGTCAACATTTTTGGATGATTTTTTTGAACAGCTCGGCGAAATAGTGTTCGATTTGGGAATTTTATACCAGTTTCGACTCGTAAGGATCAGTACTATCGATTGGCATCAAAAAAATAAAAATCTAAATTTTGACCAAAATCAGCAAAATGGCAAGGGGTTACATCACGTTTTTTCTCAAATTCGGGGTCGGTTCGAAAATCGAAACTTTTTTGATGATTTTTATTGAATATCTCGGGTACATGCTGTCCGATTTTGAAATGTTATACCTTTTTGAATTCGTAGGGATCCCTACTATCAATCTGCATTCAAACATTTTAAAAATCGATGGGTTAAAAAATGTGGTTGACCAAAAACCGATTCGTTTCTAAAGTCAACTTTTTTTTATGATTTTTTTGAATAGCTCGGCCAAATAGTGTTCGATTTGGGAATTTTATACCATTTTCGACTCGTAAGGATCAGTACTATCGATTGGCATCAAAAAAATAAAAATCTAAATTTTGACCAAAATCAGCAAAATGGCAAGGGGTTACATCACGTTTTTTCTCAAATTCGGGTCGTTTCGAAAATCGAAACTTTTTTGATGATTTTTATTGAATATCTCGGGAAATGCTGTCCGATTTTGAAATGTTATACCTTTTTGAGTTCGTAGGGATCCCTACTATCAATCTGCATTCAAACATTTTAAAAATCGAAGGGGTAAAAAAAGTGGTTGACCAAAAACCAATTCGTTTGTAAAGTCAACCTTTTTAGATGATTTTTTTGAATAGCTCGGCCAAATAGAGTTTGAATTTTATACCATTTTTGACTCATAAGGATCAGTACTATCGATTGGCATCAAAAAAATAAAAATCTAAATTTTCACCAAAATCATCAAAATGGCATCACGTTTTTTCTCAAATTCGGGGTCGGTTCGAAAATCGAAACTTTTTCGATGATTTTTATTGAATATCTCGGGTAAATGCTGTCCGATTTTGAAATGTTATACCTTTTTGAATTCGTAGGGATCCCTACTATCAATCTGCATTCAAACATTTTAAAAATCGATGGGTTAAAAAAATGGTTGACCAAAAACCGATTCGTTTGTAAAGTCAACCTTTTTTGATGATTTTTTTGAATAGCTCGGCCAAATAGTGTTCGATTTGGGAATTTTATACCATTTCCGATTGGCATCAAAAAAATAAAAATCTAAATTTTGGACAAAATCAGCAAAATGGCAAGGGGTTACATCACGTTTTTTCTCGAATTCGGGGTCGGTTCGAAAATCGAAACTTTTTTGATGATTTTTATTGAATATCTCGGGTACATGCTGTCCGATTTTGAAATGTTATACCTTTTTGAATTCGTAGGGATCCCTACTATCAATCTGCATTCAAACATTTTAAAAATCGATGGGTTAAAAAATGTGGTTGACCAAAAACCGATTCGTTTCTAAAGTCAACTTTTTTTTATGATTTTTTTGAATAGCTCGGCCAAATAGTGTTCGATTTGGGAATTTTATACCATTTTCGACTCGTAAGGATCAGTACTATCGATTGGCATCAAAAAAATAAAAATCTAAATTTTGACCAAAATCAGCAAAATGGCAAGGGGTTACATCACGTTTTTTCTCAAATTCGGGGTCGGTTCGAAAATCGAAACTTTTTTGATGATTTTTATTGAATATCTCGGGTAAATGCTGTCCGATTTTGAAATGTTATACCTTTTTGAGTTCGTAGGGATCCCTACTATCAATCTGCATTCAAACATTTTAAAAATCGAAGGGGTAAAAAAAGTGGTTGACCAAAAACCGATTCGTTTGTAAAGTCAACCTTTTTAGATGATTTTTTTGAATAGCTCGGCCAAATAGAGTTTGAATTTTATACCATTTTTGACTCGTAAGGATCAGTACTATCGATTGGCATCAAAAAAATAAAAATCTAAATTTTCACCAAAATCATCAAAATGGCATCACGTTTTTTCTCAAATTCGGGGTCGGTTCGAAAATCGAAACTTTTTCAATGATTTTTATTGAATATCTCGGGTAAATGGTGTCCGAAATTGAAATGTTATACCTTTTTGAATTCGTAGGGATCCCTACTATCAATCTGCATTCAAACATTTTAAAAATCGATGGGTTAAAAAATGTGGTTGACCAAAAACCGATTCGTTTGTAAAGTCAACCTTTTTTGATGATTTTTTTTGAATAGCTCGGCCAAATAGTGTTCGATTTGGGAATTTTATACCATTTTCGACTCGTAAGGTACTATCGTACTATCAGTACTCAGTACTATCGATTGTCATCAAAAAAATTAAAATCTAAATTTTGACCCAAATCGACAAAATGGCAAGGGGTTACATCACGTTTTTTTTCAAAATCGGGATCGGTTAGAAGATCAAAACTTTTTTGATGATCTTTTTGAAAGATCTCGGGTAAGAACCGACTGATTTTGGAATGTTATACCTCTTTGTATTCACGTGTTCCTACTATCGATTGGCAATCAATTGAATATAATGACGGGGGCTTACATCAAAGTTTTTGACAAAAAGCCAATTCTGGAATGATGTCAATCTTTTTGAAGATTTTTATATCCTGAACCCCATTAAAACTGGGTAAAGGATTATAATGTATTTGTGCAAATGTAAGTAACAGGAATAAGCAAGCATCTCCGACCCCATAAAGTAAATATATTATTGATCAGCATTAATAACTGATGTTGCCATGTCCGTCTGTCTGTCCGTCCGTCCGTCTGTCCGTGTGTATAAACGCAAGGATCTCAGAACCTATAAGACCTAGAGACTTGAAAATGGAAATTCATCACGATCGGCTAAGAAACGAAACAGTTATTAAAGATAACGTGTTTTGGCTGACCTCGAGTCAGCGGCAGCTGGCGCGAATTGCAAGAATTTCTGTATACTATACATGTACACACACAATTTCACGCGCGTTTTAATTCTATCAACAGGATGGCAATTGCGATAGTATTGTTTTTTGTGCTGAGTGTATGGGCTGCTATTTTAATTGTTTTTTTTTTTCAATTGTCGGCAAGTAGCGTGGTCTGTTGCGAGTTCAAGACCTATCGAGGGAACTAATTTTATTTTAAATTTATTTTTTATCTTTTTACTGCATTTGGTGTTGGTAGAAGAGGGTGCAGGCTATCCCTCAGCCGGGAACTCCTGACTAGAGCCTCTTACTTGTTTTGATATAAGTCGCATGTTTTGAAAAGACTTCGCAAAATACCAAAAAATTATCGTTCCGAAATTAAAAATGAAGTATTTAGTGGCTATGCTTAAGTTATTTGTAATTTGCGTATTATTTTTGAATTTAAATACATTTGTATATTTTATCTTAGTGTGGTTGTATACATTAAATGAACTTGAGGAAACGACACAAACAAATTTCTTCTAAAGCCTACTGAGGCTAAAAATACAGAAGTCATACATTTTAAAGATGTCTCCTTGGTGATCATGGTGACTGTACTATGCATGCATGGAACCAAACAATAGCAAGTTATTCCCATTTATGCCAGATTACTGTAGTAAAGCAAAGTATTTGCTAGTTCTTGACACTTTAGTGACAGTCGACACTCTTGTTTTCAGTTGTAGCCGCACATTTGTGGAATGCTTTTCTGGCTTATACTTTTAAAGATTGTAGCTCTACTGATTGGAATAAATGAAAACAAGGCTTGAAAGTTATTAAAAAGTAGATTTTTTGTTGTTATCTTACATTCTTTAATGGAGTTGTGAATATTTTTTTAAATTTTTACATTTGTCCATATTTGCATGAAGAATCGATTTTTTCCATTGCGATTTTCTAATCCGATGTTCAGTACGGGCTTCCATTACCGGTTCCAGCTGTAAGAAGCTTCCTATCCCTACCGACTTGAACTTTGCGTTGACCATCAATCAGTCAGTCCGTCAATCGTGCAGCAAGAGAGCGTTATTTGTATAGATACAAAATATATAAATGCACTTTAATAATACAGCTGTCTAAGAGTGGACATTGGGTATTTCACATTTGAATAATGTTTTCTATTCCATTTCTATTTTGAACTCCAAAGCGTCCTTAAGAAGAATCTTCACTATCGGAACTTACCATCATATGGAGGAATGATAATACCACCAGCATGGAATAGCACTTGGCAACTGTTGAAATAAGCAACATAGCAGAAAATGTCCAAACGCTACTCACTTGTTGTGCCCAATAATAGACCCAAAAATACCTCCAAACTTATTTTCTTCCCCGACCTAAAGGTTATCAAGTAGAAGACTGCCAAGAAAATTGTTGTGAAAATGCCCCACATTAGATAAGTGAAGATAATGCCGGATGATTCCTAAACGAAATAAATAACACTTTGATTAAACAAGGCATTCAAGCTTAATGTTTTAGCTCACGTGGTCCTGCAGCGTAGAGATCAACATCAGAATCGACAGCAGGCAGGAAGTGCCCAGAGATATTATAATCATCGATTCCAGCATTTGCGAGAAGCCTGAGATGTGGAAAACTTTAAAAATAATCTATAGATATTAAACTAGTATTATATTACCATTTTTGTTAATCAAATAATAGAATCCATAGCCATACAGACAAATCTCAATAAATCCAATAAGACGGCAACCAAAACGTAAGCTAAAAATGAACAGAAAATTGTGCAGATAAAACATTTTTTAGCTGGGAGCCTTAGAGCATAGCCAACTATTTTGTACGATTATTAATTTATGTTTGGTCGAATAGGGCTAACAAAACATTTAAGTCGGCGGCCTGAGGAAACATGAAGAAATAGTGTGCTCGCGCCTGCAAATAAAGAATATCTTGGGTATTTTTTTTAAGTCCTTAGATTCAAAACTTTACATTCAAAGCCTTATTGTGATCATACATTCAGTTACACAACTGGATACAGGGTATTGAAACAACATCATATCTAGTTAAACTATTGTCAATACCTTAATACACCTCATGTCTACTGCTTGCAAAATATTCATGAACCGCTTTGCATCCTGCTTTTCGGTTCACTGCTTGTACCCGCATTGGCTTTTTTAATGCGGTACAAACAGCTTTGAAATTTGATTTTCATTTTGATTGAAAACACCTGATGATCCTAGACTAAAATATTTTTGGATAACTTTGGTTACTTATTAGTATTACTTATAGCTGCTGATTTATGGAAAGATAAAATTATTAAGTTCTGAACTCAACTCTTAAAAAAAACTAAAACAAAACTTAAAATCTGAAAATTACTTTTGATATAGCAAAAACTTTGCCTAATAAACCAAAAAATTTAATTCTCAGATTTATTGAAATTTGTCTGTTGTAAAGTTCAATCTAATCTTAAGCGTTAGCAGATTCTGAAATCAATTGCAGAAAATCTCATAAAACACATCTTGGGAAAATGAATGCTTATCACAACTATATTAATCTGTCATTAAATTAACAAACATATGTTAGTTTATACATACATGTTAAGCTCGAAGTTTTTATATTAATTTTTATTAGAAAAATAAAATGTTTAATACATATACACAAAAATAGAAGTAATGCTTATATTTCTGGAACTGCCACGCCTTTTATATTAATTGGATGCTTCTTTTCCATTGGGTTTGGCTTGGCATTTGAATCTTTTAAAGCGAGGTGCGCGTTGTTGGGGCAATGAATCTACTTGCTTGTAGACTAGCAATAAAAATAAAGGAGCTGCTGGATCTGGCTAGCTTCTAGAGTATACGCATTTGTATAACTGAAAAACCTGATGATCATAATACAATTCTCACTTTCTTACTACTTAATAGAGAAGAAAATATGTGCCGCAGCTGAAGACATCGGAAATATTACGAAATACAATAACAACTACGAAGAGTTAAATGCTAAATATACAATAGTTATCAAATATTGTTATTATTATTATTTTTATCATAATAAAGCTATGCATGTTTGTTGTAGTGCTGTTTCATCGATTTCCTTTTAGTGTTTTAGGCAGAGTCCCTTGGGGATTAGTCAAAAGTTAAACCACAACAACATGTCCATTATAAATAGCTTCACCATATCAACGACTCGAGTCTGGCGCCTAAAAATCGATCTGTGCCGAATGCAGTTTGTGCCTTAGGCTGGTTCCAACAACTTAGGACAACTTTCTACTTAAAGTATTAAATGTGTGTGCATGCGTGTGTGTGGTGCGTGTGTGTGCTTAGAGTCTAGTACTCAATGATCTTGGGATCGCGCGGCTTGCGGGAGTACTTTAGACCCAAGTTCTCGCTAACATCGTCGATGACGTCGAGGGCATAGTCAAGCTGTTCCTTGGTGTGTGCAGCCGACAAACAGAAGCGTATGCGACCCTCCATGATAGGCGTGGCCGGAAAGCCAGCGCCCACTACCGCAATATGACGCGTGGTGAGCGTGCGTATAACAGCACTAAATGGAGGAGCACAATAATAAGAAAGTTGGCAAGCAAGGCAGCTCCACACTTACCCAATCTTTGAGAAGAGATAGACCAACATGGGCACCACCGGCGAATCCTCATGGCCATAGGTAATAACGCCCATTTGAGCCAAACGCCTGCGGAAATAGCGCGTGTTTCTGGCCAGCTGCTGTACCTTATTGCGACCCGTATTGGTGCCATCCTCGCCCATTATGATGCTCATCGAGGTGTAGATCTGCTGTACAATGGGCGGCGATATGGAGCTGGCATAGCAATGGGCGTGGCTGTTTGTGCGCAGGAAGTCAATTAGTTTCTGCGAAAACAAAGGGAAATAAATGCGATGCCAAGAAATTATAGCGTATTTATGATTACCTTGGAGCCAGCTATGTAGCCACCGGCGCTGCCGAAGCTTTTAGTAAAGGTGCCCATCAGAATGTCCACATCCTTGGGGTCGGCGCCGAAGTACTCGACAACGCCACGTCCCGTCGGACCCATTGAGCCAATGCTGTGCGCCTCATCGAGATAGAGGTACGCCTTGTACTTCTTCTTTAGGGCAATTATCTCGGGCAGCCGCACGATGGAGCCCTCCATGCTGAAGATGCCCTCGACTAGGATCATGATCTTGTTCCAGGGCTTACCGCCGTTTTTCGGATTGCCATAGCAGACGCCATTGCGCAGCACACGCTCCAGATCCCTCATGCTGTTGTGCTTAAACACGCGCGTGGTGGCTCCCGACAGACGCAGGCCCAGAATGATGGAGGCATGATTCTTCTCATCGCTCACAACCAGACAGTTGGGCCCCAGCAGCGAGGGCAAGTTGAGTGCGTTCGTTGCAAAGCCCATGCCAAAGACAATGGCGTCCTCGACGCCACAGTAACGGGCTGTCAGCCGCTCCAGATCGATGTGCAGTTGCGTATTGCCTAGCTCGCTGCGAGGGCTGCAATAGGCTAGACCCTTCTGGCGAGCACGCTGCTCCGAGTCATCGGCGCAGGCTCCTGTAGCAGCGGCAAAACCGAGATAGTTGTAGGAGCCGAGATTCAGGCAACGTGTCTCGGTCCCTGTAAATCTAAAGCTCCAGCCGTAGTCGTCGGTGACGCGATCCTTCAGCACCAGCTCGTCGCCAGGCACACTGCAGATGGGTCTATTCCAACAGTCGCGCACACGACGGTACACATAGCGCGAATAGAAGCTCTCAAAGGCATCGTAGAGGGCCACATAGCCCTCGCGCCCCTTCTCCGTGGCTACCTTGGGCACGAACAGCAGCTGGTTTATGTAGCCGAGTATCATCAGCAGATAGAAGCCCAAATAGGTGAGGCAGGCCGTGTGCAGCGGCACATCCTCAAAGGACGTCTTCTGGTAGTGCTCCTGCTCCGCCGACAAGACTCCGTCCGCCTGACTTGGCTTGAACTTCTCGCAATTCTTGCCGGACTTTGTCGCATGCCCATTAGCCTCTAGCTGCTTGGCCGGGTGGTAGCTACCCTCGCTGGTACCCTGCGGGGTTAGATACAGATTAGATGGGAGTTACGTATGATTGATTGCTGAACACATTTTTATTAGAACGGAAAGCCTGTTATCACAATGCAAATTGACAGCTCGTTATCAGCGCCAAAATAATCGCAACGGGAAAGAACAGGTGCGAGGAACCCAATAATCCACGCCCTCAGTTTAATGAGAGTTCTCCATATGGGTCACATACAATCAGAATAGCAGAGGGGCCGTGCGGGAAACTTAGTTCCCAGAAGGAGCGCACATTTTTGAATTCTTTTAGGCAAACGTAGGATTTTATTAGAGCCTTTTCCCTAATATTTGTCGGAGGAAAGAGAAAATACACAGTCGAAAAAATGGTGTAAGATTTTTTTAAAATAAGATTGGTTTTTATATACTTATCTATTATTCCCCGAAGAACAAGTTAGTTTTGAAAATAAACATACTTAATTTAATATCACGAATGCTTGTCATTATTCTGATAACTTTATCGATCCATCCGGTAATTGATAAAAAATTTCGACAAGTTCCTACATAAATTTTATACCAAATGTTTTGTTTTCCCAAACCATTTGCTTATTCCTCGCTTGAGTTCAATAGAATTGAGATTTGGAGTACAATTTGCGTCCCTAAGCTAATATATATTTAGTGCACTTGCAAATGCTTTGCTTAGGAAAAACATTAACTCTTATGAATACATTAAAATATGACAAAAGTCACAAATACCGGAGGCTATCTCTAGAAAAGTCGCTGTTATTAAAAGGATATCTGCAGCATTTACTACGTTCCTTCAACATGGAGAATAGGAGGCAATTGCGCCCCTGTAATTCAACTGTCGCATATATCTTTGATCATTTGCTAGTGAAGCGTTGTTATAAACATATAACATATTATATACAATATTAATAATATATAATAGAATCACATTCATGTCAACGTATTGAGAATGAAAGATCTGTGATTTTAGATAGTTTCATAAATTCTGTTGGAGCTATAAACATTAATTCTAAAATTTATAAATAATATAAGTCACCTGTTCATAATTTGAAATATCGAATATATTTATTTACTGGGCGACTGATAAAATCAGGAGATAGCAAGCAATTTGATGATGAACATAAATAGAATATCAAAAGTTATGCATAACACGCGATAGATGAGAGCCCCAAAAGATAAGACTTGGGGTCTCTTTTTGCCGCGAATCACTTGCTAGCTTTTGAGAGACCTTTTAGCAATCAACTCATGACCTGCAGCTCAAAAATCATTTCACAGTATCAGTCGCTTATTTAGTACACCTCGGACAGAGATATATTTTAGTTGTTGTTGCTGTTGTTGCCTTTGTTGTGTCGTCAATCAGCCAATTAACATTTAACCAGAATACAGAATACAAAAACTGCGTTCAGTTCGGCCTCTCGCTCCCTCACACTGTGCAGCGATGTCATTTAGAGAGCTCTACGAACTCAAACTATATGGAAGCCATAAAAACACTCTTACATATATCTATATATGCAGGTTGTATATATATATGTATGGGCATAACTATGTGGAGCATTACACAACATGGCACAAGGTTCGCGCAGTGCGTGAAGTTATTTTATAACTAATAAGAGCTGCACTAGTCGCAAGTGTCCGACTAGCAGATACCCTGTGGCCAGACACAAGCTTTCGTTTCCCCTATGCCCACGTTATGGTTAATTCACTCTTCATTTACTTCGGTTTATATAGCCCTTTCTTATTCAAATTGTGTATATACCAAGGCACAAAAGTCTATATTTTCCAATGCGACTAAGAAAGATCACACGCGACTAAGCAA